TCTACCATAAAAACTTTTGGAACTCGGAGACAAAAACTTAATTTTGGTTGCAGCACACCATTTGAGTGGGAGTTCGTAATTGCCGATGTAACTTTTCCTATCATTGGGATGAATTTTCTTCAACACTACGAATTGCTAGCTGACTCTAGACACCACAGATTGATAAGTAACAATCGGTCTCAGCAAAACCACATCGTTTAGATCCAGCTAAAATGCAAATAGCAAAAGCAGAGTTCGATAGGTTATTGGATCTAGGAATAATACGACCGTCAAACAGCCCATGGTCATCACCACCGCATATGGTACCAAAAAGAAACTCAACAGAGATACGACCATGTGGAGATTACCGAGCTTTAAATAGGCAGACTAAAGCAGATAGATACCTAATTCCGCACACCCACGATTTTTTCCATAACATGGCAGGTGCTCAGATATTTTCCAAAATTGGCCTCGTTCGTGCATACTGCCATATACCGGTCGAGCCCAAGGACATCCCCAAAACGGCGGCAACCACTCCTTTTGGCTTATTCGAGTTCGTCCGCCTACCATTTGGCGCAGCTCAAACATTTCAGAGATTCATTGACCAGGTATTGCACGGCCTCCCATTCACTTACGCTTATATCGATGATATACTGGTTGCAGGTAAATCACCTGAGGAGCACCAACATCACTTAGAAACGCTCTTTAAACATTTAGCCGAATATGGAATTTTCATTAAACCAAGTAAATGTGAATTCGGTAAGAAAACTATAGAATTTTTGGGACATCAGGTAGACAATCAAGGCATTCGACCAATAGCAGAACAGCTGCAAGTCATAAAAGAATACCTGAATCCAGATTCCTTCAAAAAGTTACGCCGATTTCTTGGTCTCGTCAATTTTTATCGCCGTTTCATTCCTCACTGTGCACAGCTGGCCCCACCTCTGAAAGATCTACTAAAAGGTCATGCAAAATCGTTGCACATGAGTACTTCAGCAATCGATGCATTTGAAAAGTTGAAACAAACTCTAAGCTCAGAAACTTTACCAGTACGTTGCGATGTCAACTCTCCTATAGCTATTATGACAGATGCATCAGACGTCGCCGTCGGCGCAGTTCTTCAACAATTTTCTGCTGGGAAATGGCAACCTCTCGCCCTTTTCTTCAAACGTCTAGACGCCACTCAATCAAGATATAGTGCATTCAGTAGAGAATTACTAGCAGTCTCTCTCGCTGTTAAACATTTTCGTCATATGGTAGAAGGAATACCGTTTACCATCTACACAGACCACAAACCACTAACCAAGGCCATGAATGCAAAGCACGACAAGTACTCGCCAAGAGAACTCCGACATTTCGAGTTCATTTCTCAGTTCACTTCAGATATTAGATTCATCAAAGGACATAAAAACGAGGTAGCAGATGCGTTATCCCGCATCCATATAAATACCTTAGAAAAAGACCAGTTTGATCTTAAAAATATGGATAGACTGCAAACTATGGACGAGGATCTGAAAAGAATAAAAAAATAGCACGAGTACTTCCTTACGTTTGCAAGATGCTATGCTTGACGAAAGCCTAACTACTACGTGTGATATTTCCAAAGGTAAACCGTGCCCCTTTGTCCCACTAGAAATGCGAAGATCAGTTTTTTCCAAAATACATGGCATTTCTCACCCTGGCATCCGAGCAACAGTTAAACTGATAAGTGACCGATATGTATGGCCGAATATGAATCGGGAGATTAAACAGTGGACCAGATCATGTTTCGCCTGCCAAAAGTCAAAAGTACAACGACATACAGTCTCACCTAATGGCCAGTTTCCAGAACCTGATGGTAGGTTCCAACACATACACATTGACATCGTTGGACCGTTACCAACAACTAATGGCTTTACGTGCATTTTAACGTGTATTGACAGATTTACGAGATGGCCAGTAGCTTGTCCCTTACCTGATATTTCTGCTGAAACTGTTGCAAAGAGCATCATACAAAATTGGATTTCCAACTTCGGAGTGCCCACCATTATTACTACAGACAGAGGTGCCTAATTCGAAAGCCATTTATTCCAACAACTCACAGAACTACTGGTTATCAAACGTATACGTACTATTGCATATCATCCCAGTTCAAACGGCTTAGTGGAGAGATTTCATCGTCAACTGAAAGCATCATTGATGGCAGTGAAGGACGATGATAAGTGGAGCGATAAATTACCTCTTGTACTTCTTGGAATACGTTCGACAATAAAACAAGATATCATATGTTGTCCAGCAGAATTAGTTTATGGAACTACTGTACGACTACCTGGAGAATATTTCAACCCAGCCACTGAAGTTCCAGCTGGTGAAACTACTTTTGTGCGACAACTGGGACAACAAATGAGCCTCTTAAGATATCATCCGCCGTGACATCAACTCAACCAAGCATACATGCCTGAAAAACTAGAAAATTGTACGCATGTTTTCATACGACACGACGGTGTAAGGAAACCACTTCAACCACCTTATGACGGGCCATTCAAAGTAATAAGCAGAACAAGCAAAATCATCACTGTCGAACGCAGAGAAAAACACGAGAATGTAAGCATCAATCGCGTAAAACTAGCTTTCATGGAAATAGAGGTGACTGAATGTTTACCCAAATCAACGTCATCTCAAGATTCAAAATCTGATGATATTCCTGCTAACAAAACAGAAAGAATCACAAGATCAGGCAGACGAGTACATTGGCCACAAAGATTTGTACAGACAATTTATTTCTAATTCATTTCCATACTACCTTATTTATTTTATTTATTTTGATTTACAGCTTGATTCCACACCGTATTTTCAGTACAAGTATGGAATTTTCAGCATGGATATCGGTTGCCCAAATTCAGGCATACCATAGATATCGGGTGTGCGCCGGCAGGGAATCGAACCCCGGACCATGTGCATGGTCAGCGAGAGTCCTAACCACTGTGCCACCGACGCACGGTATTATTAACTGCATGTAAGATATAAATCTATTCTGTAACTCCTTACAATAACAAACTCATTATTATTCTAATAATTTTTCTGGTTTTATTGTTACATTTTGCACAACTTTCTAAACATTTTGGTTCGTTTCGAAGTTGTTAACATTTTCGCATATATACAGTTATATTATCAAACCTCCGAAAACTTAAAATCCTCAATTCGATTGTTATTACAGAAACTCTTATATATCTCTTCTGTCATTGTAATTTACAAAATCATTCCGAATACAGGTAAACTTCATTTACCTGCATTCTATGGAGGGGCTATTTTAGTGACCCGTTTTATTACTCATCATCGCAGTATACTTTCACAATGTAATCGGACTTTGATTTGTTTATCACTCTAAAGATTGCGTGTTAACAATTGATACTTTTGTACTCGCTCGATTTTTGAATTTTGATTGCTGCAATAATACACTATCGTATTCCTTCGCAAGTGCCTTTTGAATTACGTTGTGGATGTCGAGTAATCGCAACGTTAGGACACAATTACAAACGCGAAGAAGTACTAGGATATGTGTACGCTAGTTTGGTCAGAACTAAACAGCACAACAAAATATCTTCACATTCTCCACATTTTAGCAGTTGTGTAAACTGCCTCCTGGAACGATTAAGTAATCAATTGATATAATTTCGGCTAACAACTTGATTTACGCTGTTCATTTACCCACAAATATAAAGCACTCAACAGTTACCTCCGTATTCAAAAAGAGATAAACAATGTTTCTCTATTTGCAACCCATAGTATACAGACTTTTTATGGAGACTAGACAATCGTGAACTATAGCCTTCATTATCCCTTACATTATTGTAGAGAACTTGTATCTTCTAATCACAATCATAAGAGAGGTTAGTCACTGAATCATTGCTTATCGACCCAATAGAGCATACGTGCAATCAGGCTGATGCAACGCCCAAACTACAGACATGGAAAGTAGCAACAAACAACAAAGGAAAGTTGTAGAGAGAAGAAGAGAGAAAATATTTGTCAATGTCCAGGTCTAACTACACTGGACTTAACGCTGTCCTTAAAAGACCTTCAGCGACAATGTGCAATAACTAACGAGAATAAACAGAACACAGATTGGTGACTCGAGAATCCTTTATTCTTGCACCAATATGGAACCAACCATAAGGTTATTATACACAAAGTCTAAGAATAAATGTCATAACAATTAATCACAAAACTACTTCTGATAGTATTTCTCCGTCTTCTAACGAACAACGTGCGATGGAACGATGACTGCAGTGTCGGTGACTCCCGCAAAAATATGGAGTTGGTTTTGAGTAACCAACCATGAATTGATCGTTCATTCTTCAACTACATTGACAATATTTATAAGACAAATTGTGTAAATGCGTGACTAAATTGGTATGATTGTGAGCGATAACTTATGCTCGAAAAGCCACCCAGCTGTTGATACTGCATCACTGTGTGATTTTATAAAATAAATTCATCTAATATGGAAATTACATTCTATCACAGCACTTAAGGTCTACGCTTACATTATTCACAAACCAGGCCTAACAAGCTGGCAATTAAAAGCACAGTGTGATGAGACGGGGGTAGAGATTCTCACAGGCTGCTTACCATTAATTTGTGACTGAGATTTTCCCTATTAATTCCAGGAAGATTCAGGAATCATATTTAGTGATTTGCATCCTTGTAGCTTCTTTTCCTATTTAGAAGCATTAGTTTCAGAATATTTGGAGGAGGACAAATATGCTTTTTATTCCTTATATTTTAGATTCAGATAAGGATTAACCAATCATCCATACAAGGAAAATCCTTCACCGTCATAAACGAAGACTTCATTTGGGTTGAAATCTGTGTTTTATCCCAGTTTCAGGAATTACAAAAGTGAAAACAAGAAATTTATATAATAAAAATTATTTCCTAATTTTTTTGTAGATTTATTTCGCTTTTAAGTGTTTTAAAGACATTGATTTTTTTTTGATACAGTGCCTGTTTGTTTGAATCAATGAACGGGTTAAAGTTAATGCTAACCTAGAAAAAGGTTATGCAGATTCCGCTCGACTCGCAAGCTAAAAGCACTCACTCGTGTTGGAATGTTTCCTACTAATTAATCAGCATATGAACACTATGAAAAATTTCCTCATACTTTCATAAATTAATCGGAGTTATTTCTTGTTAAATACTATGATTTAAAACTTTAATCATGTTAAGTTCCACTGCTTCTGATAATTTGGCGTGTACGGATGAAGTCAAGGTCTATGAAGATGAAGGAGAGGAAGAAGAACAACAGAAATCATCTGAAAATCTGACAGAAGATAAAGTCAGACTGGTCATTGAGAGCGAAACTCAAGTAAGCTAACATCTATTGTACTTTTTGTAATTACAAAATCTGTTAACAAATTTATGATCGTCACATCTCTGTTGCCGCATGAAAATGTCATCATGTGTACCGAAGCATTGTAGTACCAACGTGTTTTTTCATTTGTTGTTACACTTTTGTATTACATGTGTATTTAGTCCTGTTCATGACACAGTAGTATTTCTTCTCGACATCATATTTTATGAATTTCGGAAACCACCCCTTAATTTTTCGGACATTCATAAAGCATAAGGGAAGTCACTAGGATTCAGAGTTTCATTTAACACCCGGAACTTAGGTTCTTTAATGGAGTCTACAATTAGGTCACGCATTTATGTAGTCTAAAATAAAGTGTTCACAAGTAGTCAGGTCATTCGGCGTTACCACTGATACCTGTCTACCGCATCAGTATAATTATCACAAGGTAACTCGTCATGGTGATGATTAGCTAATTCAGTCGTCCTGGGTTTATCTATTTGCGGACATAGATTATTTTCAACAGGATTCTGTCAGACTGTCTTCAGTAGTTAAATGAGAATGTCAATCAGCACTTTCCAATATTTGACAGCGTATATGTTGCTTTGTTGCACTGCTCGAGAAACACATCATATCTAAAAACCTCTGCTATTACAAAATGCATTCGTATGCACCCGAAAATGACGATCTACTATGGTGTTTGCTCGTAGAGAAAATATTTGCCATTATATTTCTGTCACACACAGCAAATCAAACAAGTCAGATTACAGACTTGTCACATACTTTAGGTGTCTTTTCCTATGTATCGGTTTTATTTCAAACTCAATTATCTAAAGACAGAGTTAAAAGAAAGCATTAACATGGTAGCTTATTTTATCGTTGTTTCTAAATATCTAAGCGTGGTTATGTAATAAATAAAAGACAAGGACTTCATGATACTTACAAACTGCATATCATTAGACATATAACATCCAATTCTGTATCGTAAAATTTGTGTATTAATGCTTTTTATTCGGTCATCTACTGTCTATTCCATTTATTTTTGTGCATTAATTTGGAAGCAGTAAAAAAGTAAACACCTAGTGGTTAAAACACTGAAGACAGAAAGAAATCAAAGTAGGAATCGGCGTTATCACGTTATCATGTACATCAGAGATGTACATACTGTTCATTTTCGCGAAATTCTAGTGATTGTTTTATTGTACTTTATATCCTGTAGAGAAGAACATCAACTTAAGGCCTGAACTTGTTTTGGTTGAAGATTTCAAACGTGATTTCGCCTCCCAAGATTTCAGAGTTTTATCTGTTAGTTACTAGGCTGTATTCTATTCCTTTACATTTGATTGCTTAAAACTTAGTGAGATGTATTTAGTTAATCAACCCGAATATGTTGTTTGCAATCATCATCTTAAGTCATTTTGAGAGGTTTTGAAATCTAACTGAAGTGGTATTCATATTTATATGTCACTGATTAAATGATGAACTACTATACCAATCAGCTATAGTTCCATCACAGTATTTGATGAGCTTAATGATAGCAATTAACAATACCTTTTCAACAGTTTGAAAGACTGTCCGATTAAGATTCTGAACGGCTGTATTTTAAGTTTTATTGCTGACTCTATTTTCTTTGCTTTTTCATCAGTTTGCATAGCCTAAACTATCAGTTCGTTACATACATAAGAATTTATCTAGGGTCTTTTTTCGAGTAATTTATGGGATATCTAGTCACCTTATTTGTAAATGAAACTCTAACTCTCCCATGTTCTACATTGTTTTGTCTACCTTTCAGTTGCGTGTGAAATACTGCTAAGTATTTTAATTTAGTTTAAATCTTATCCATTTTCATTATTCCACATGAAAAATTAGCGATTAATGTCATAAGCTAACGAATATTTTGGATGTACTTAAGTGTCATGGGTTCATGTTGTAGTAAGTTAAATACATATACTTATATTACCAAGGATTTTAGAATTTGCAGATTGTCTTGAGTTACCCATACTATAAAATGAAGTAAAGGATTACTTCATGTCGAATTAGTAAGACATCAAGATTTTTAAGACAGCGACAGTCTTTACCTTTCTCTTCAAATTGTAACGTTACATTTTTAACTGCAGACTGACCTCGATTACTTCAATCGAAACAAAAAGATACAAATTAAACGCTATCAGCTCTAGTGCGTTCTAGTGACCCAAGAACGTTTTTTCGTTGTGATATATGAATCAAAGATAATAGGGCAATACTGATCATTACAGCATTGTTGTAAATATTTTAGATTAGGTTATTACCAGTAACGTGCGTCGGTGGTATAGCGGCTAGGACTCTCGCACATGGTCCGGGGTTCGATCCCTGGCCGACGCACTCCTTTACCTCGCTAAGCCAGAAATAATGCTGGTAAAGAGGAAAGGTTGGGCATGAGGCTAGCGACCCCATTCTGTAAAATGAACACTGCTACCGAAACTTCAAGCCAGTAGCTTGGAGCCCTATGTTCCACTCTGGAACGTGAAAGGAAAAAAATTACCAGTAACGCATATTTCATCTATTGTGTATAATGAATGCTCCATCTGTCTAAACAGCTCTGTGTTGGTCACAACTGTTAGTTAAGTAAATCCTTGTACGCTTTTAACTTATTTAGCACACATCTTTGAAACTTGATGAATTTCTTGATTGAAGCTTTGTAATGGCAGTAGTTCAGGATAAGGACAGAAAGTAAAGTTGTCTACCATTCCATGGTCTCTTGTTCTGTATGTGATTAGAGATACCTTTCTGAAACTCATCTTGAAAAATAAGGGAAGTATTTCCTTTTCATTTCTCTCTTGAGATCTTCAGGTTGAGGAAAAAGCTTTTAGGATGTTTTGAAAAATAAAAAAAATGGGGTGAAGTTGGTTTTTTTGTTATGTTTTATAATTACGTAACTTTCTAATGTCAGCATTACATCTTTGATTATCTAAGTGTTGGCTATCTGTAGAACATAAACTAGGTTCTGGTTTATGTTCACTTTTATCGATAACTATCTACAAAACTAATTTTAATATGATTTGCTGCATGTGTGCATGTATCCGATCCTTCTTGATATGAAAATAATATCTAAATATTTGTCTAAACCTGATGGTATCATTTTTATTAGGTTAGATTTAGTTACCTTTTTACACATCAAAATGCCCACCAAATAGTCAATATCTCTGCCTACTCATTATCGTAACTAGAAAGGCGTTGATTAGGTAATAATTTATCTTTCTGTGTCACTAGAGAAGGGGAAGCAGTTTCATTCTTAGACAAATTCACATCTTAGATAAAAGGTTTTGCTGAATCCTCCTATAGTGAAGAAATTTTCTGTACTTTTCTTAGAGTAATGCGTCATTTCTTTTTGTGTTTATGTATATCACTGAAGAGAACACTACCGTTAGGCAAGACTAAGACTTAGGCAATAATTTTCCAGTTAAATTGATGAATTGTCTTTCGATGAAGATATCAGTATTGTATTAATACAGGAAAAAAAAATGGATTTTCACAGCTGATTCGAAGATTACTTATAACTGTACTGTTCATGAAGAAATCGTATAATAATACTTACAAAATAGCCTTGATTACTAACTTATTCTCATGGATATCTTGAGATATAGTATACAATTCAGTCATCTTTAATCTCAGGAGATTTTGGTTCACTGTCTTCAACACTTGGATCCAAATCCGTACCCCCACCCCACCCCATAAACTTTGATTTGACAACCAGCTGATATCTTAACTAGCCCTTTACTACCTTGTACTGCGTAGCCTAGTACTTGGATAAATGCTTCACTGAGCAACTGAATGATACCGTTTAATTAGTTCTGTAGGTATAACTTGTAGGGATGTAAAATACATAACATTCTTGGCATATTGTTGTATTAAATGTGCTTACACATTTACAATGCACCTATCTACCTTCGACAGGTCAAATAGTATCAGCCTACACCTAGTTTTTGTCCATCAAACAACCCGTTAGTACATTTCAACAAATAAAAGTTACAATTTAAATTTCAAAACAGTAGATTAATTGAAATTGAAGCCCTGGATAGCTTGTTTTCTCTCTTCTTCAAATATTCGACCCCCCCCCCTCTTATAATAGATACTGTGATAGTAAAGCCCAAATTTCTTAACCTATCAGTAATTACTGTAATCCTTTAATAGTGAACGAAAAGGCCTCTGATTACCGAAGAAATAAGCACCTGTAGTTAATGGAGAAGTGCATGCAAGAATCAACATTTATGGGAGATTGTTTATTATCTCAACTTTAAGACAAAAATGTAACAGTTTTATTGAATTAATACAATGATTGCTTTTGAGAATCGGACAATGAAACTGTACGTCGGTTACTCATTCAAAATGGCCATTTATCGTTTTTGGATTTATCAAGACAAAAACAAACAGACGTGAAACTCCAACTTTAAAGTTCTTGGTTGAAATTCGTCAAGTGGATAAAATACTAATCAATTCTTTCCAATTATTGACGTCAAGTTACTCTTATACTAAAACAAGTCTTAGATGGTGGTAGTGGTGGTGGCGGTGGGCGTTATGTTGTCGAATATTATTAATTGAAATTTTCGGTCTACTAATCTTTGACTGGACACTAGTAACTAGTGTGATGTGTCTAGTGCAGACTGAATTCTATCAGTCAGTCAGGTTTGCAATGTGGCTACCATGCCACTAGGTAGCTCGCCATCACGGTTCATTCTGAATTGTTGTGATTATTAGATGGTTGGAGGCAATCGACAGGAAGGAAGCCCTACCTGACCTAGGTTTCGTGCTATTCTACTAATCTGTTCAATCCATAAATTAGGGTATATCTTAAATCGATTATGCAATCAGTTACTGAACACTTCGATTGATTCTGTATGTAACGATTGGAAAGCATCATTATCTCCTTGTCTCACTTGAAACTTGAGTATAAATAAAAGTCTATCAAACAACCATTGTTTAAACTAATAATTTTGAACTCAGATCAGCTAACCGGAACAAATTTCCCGCCTACTAGG